GAATTTCCTTTAGTCTTTGTGTGATGATAGCCATTCTAACTAGGGTGGGATGATTTCATATTGTGGTCATTTGCATTTCCCTGTTGATTAACGAAATGGAGAATTTTCTTTCCTTTATTGTTGTGCATTTACAAAGGTTCTTATAATGTATCAAATATATCACACTTGAATTTACCCCCACCACCACTCTCCTTTATTCTCCCTCCCCAACTCCTGGAATAGTTTCAGCAGGTATCATTTTTGCATTTACATATGTGTACACATTTTTTTGCACAGTATTTACCCTCCTACCCCCTTTCCAGGCCACCTCCCTCTCTCCCCCTGGTACCAAACACTCCCTTCCTGCAGGACCTGATTTTTAGAAGAAAAAAAAAAAAATGACATTTTTGCTTTTTTGAGATATAGGTAGCTACACAGGGATTTCCTTGTGATATTTCCATGTATATGTGTATTATAACCCCAATTGGTTTATCTCCTCTTATTTTCTTCATTCTACCTTAGTCCCTATGGTGGTTTCAGGAGGTTTAAGATTTCTGTATACATTCTTGTATAAAGTATGTCAACCATATTTAACATCTTAGTTTCCTTCTTTTACCCTACCCCTCTTGAATGTGACCTCCCCTTAGTGTGACCAGTGTTTCGTAATACTGCTGCATTTGTAGTAGGTCTATATTCCACATATGGGAATATGTGGCAGTTAGCCTTCCAAGCCTGCCTAACGTCATTTAAGATGATGTTCTCCAGTTCCATCCATTTTTCTGCACATTTGTTGGCCATTTGTATGTCTTCTTTTGAGAAGGGTCTATTCAGATTTGTAGCCAATTTTTTAAATTGGATTTTTTGTTTTGGTGGGCTTTGTTTTTGCAAAGCAAGTGCTCTAGTGCTCGAGTCACACCTCCAGTCCTTGAGTTCTTTATATTCTGGCTATTAATGTCCTGTCAGATGAATAGTTTGTAAAATTTCCCCTGCCTCCCATTCTGTAGATTTTCTGTTAATTCTTTGCTGTGCAGAAGCATCTTAGTTTAACATATCCCACTTGTCAATTTTAATTTTTTTTGCCTGTGCCTTTGGGGTCCTAGCTAAGAAATCATTGCTTGTGTCAAGTCCTTGAAGTGTTTTCCATCTCCTTATAACTTTAAAGTTACAGGTTTTAGATTTAGGTATTTAATCCATTTTTAGTAGACATTTATACATGGTGAAAGGAACTGATCTAGTTTTTTTCTTTTGCTTATGTACATCCAAGGTTGCCAGCACAGATTTTCTCTACTGTATATTCTTGGTGATGCTGAAAAATTGACTGTAGCAGTGTGGATTAATGTTAGGGTTCCATTGGTCTATGTGTTGATTTTTATGCTAGTACCATGCTATTTTTGGCTACTATAGTTTCCTAGTATATTTTGAAGTTAAATATTGTGATGTCTCTAGCTACTCCTCACCCCCTTCAGTCACTATGGCTATTCTGGGTCTTGTATATTTCCATATTAATGTAGGGATTGTTTTTTCTATTTCTGTGAATATTGGTTATTTTGATGGGAAAGCTGTAATTTTAGACACAAAACAAAATTATATTTGGCATTCAATTATCACAGATGAACTGGTAAATTTAAATAAAATTTAAATCAATATAGTCTAGTGGATTAAAATACACATTGTACATCTGCTTAAAAGCATGTGCTAGCTTCTGAATACAGCAGGGATTGAGAAAGACATGGCTACTTTCTTCAAAGACAAATGTAAATAGGAGTAGTAGCGGATTTCTAATTTAGATTTTTAAAAAAGTTTATAAAAAATCAACAAAATGAATTCTAAAATTTGTTGTCTTTGTAGTAAAATAGGTTTTTCTTTTTGTATTTGTTGCTACAGACTAAATTAATTTGCCAAAGTCCTAATATGATAAATTAGATTACCGGCCTTTTGATATATCATACTATTTAGTCTTGAGTTCTTTGGTGACTCTGTGAGAATGATTTACTAAGATACGAAAAAAATCACAATATAGTTCATCTTCAAGAATACCCTCAATCTCTATAGTAAACCATGTGAGATACTGCTGTTACAAGTCTGAAAAATTATAAACACAAAAAACACCTTTATTAATCATTTAATAAATTTCCACTCTTGTAACAAAACAGGAAGGAAAGGTTATTTAAAAAACAGAACTAAAGAAAGCTGGACTGGAGACTAGAAAGGATAAATCTAAACTTACTCAAAAAAGAAGAAAACGGTACAGACTTTACCTTCATAATCTTCATAACTCAAGATGGGGAAGATATTTTATAAGTTAACTATTTTTCCTAACTACACTAAAACCACTGAATTGTTCCCATTAGCAGTGGCTCCTGTTAGGTGCATGTGTGTGTAAGTACAATTATTTTTTGCCTTGCCTTGCTGTATGATTTACCTAATGACCTAAAAAAAGATACATAAAATTATACATACAGGGGGTGTTTTGTTAGATAATTGGTCTCAGAATCATGTTTTAGTTAAGCATTTTACCATTTGGTAATACCGCACCAAGAATTTTAATTTTGTAAGTTTCCATTTCTTCTTTCTCTTGGTTATTGAAGCATAATATGCAAAGCAACAGTTATTTGTTGCTGGTAGAGTAAGTATTCTCTACCTTCATTTTCCCCTAAATCCAACAACTACAATTCTTTTACCCCTTCAATAACATCTTCAGAATAACAATTGTTTAATGAAGAGTCCTGCATTAATGGTTAATTAACCACTTATACATGGAGATTAATGCAGGCCTTTTTGAGGAAGATTGCTTTCAGGACTGTAGGCACACAAATGCAAACAAGTGGCTGAGATACACATTTCCTGAATTCAATATTGATGTGGGCCAGCTTGGCATCAGCTTTTGGCCACATTTCTGATTAGTTACTTCTCAAAAAATATACCCAGCTATTCACAAGGAAACTGGTGATAGTAAGGGAACCTAAGTGCAAAGCCAGGATTAAGTAGAAAAATTAGGTGAGTTAGTGAATCCACATCTTTATGTATGATCAATAACATGTTATACTTAACCTGGTGGGTTGGCCCAAGTTCTACTACTCCTACTAAAAATAAGTTTACTCACTAGAAGAATCTGGGTATATTTAAACATTTTCAGCACATATGTAAAAGAAAGTAATATCAGAAAAGTTTACTTTTCATCTTCAGAATTCTAAAAAATTAAGATTCATTTCAATTTAATCTTTGGAACAGAATGAATCTGTTCAATCTAATTTATCTGGTTTTGTTGGTAGATTTGAAGGACAAAGACTAGACTAAATGTGAAACAAAACTTCCTCTTTAAAACATTTGGCTTAAACATGCTATGCCCTCATTTAATATTGTTCTAAGCATCTTATACTGTCTCATGGGAAATAGCATATATATATATAAATAAAATTTTGATAACTGTACTGTAAACAAAATTAAAACTTTTAGAATATAAAAAGGTATTATACAATAACTATTTCATTTTTTTCTTTATCTTAATCATACACTTCTAAATAAAAAAAGATAAGATCTAAGTAACATTTGGAAAATTAGAATAGGCAAACCATTTAATGTTCAAAACACAAGCTCCAAATAGTTTTATACAGTCACATACTTTAAATGTTGCAAACTTTCAAGGCTGGTTGCGAGATCTTGATCTGGTCTGATTGGTATCATGTTACACATGGTGGGTTGCATACACAAATGGGTGTTTCTGAAATAGCACCTTATACATGGTACTCCTCTGAGGTGCTCAACAGAACCAACAGAGCCACTAAAAAAAGCCTCAATCTGCTGCTGTGTTTGAAAGATCCAATGATGGTAACAGGACTGAAGAACACCACCTGATGTATGTCATTTTATGATACAGTTTACTTAACCTGCCTCCACAGCTGTTAGTATAGGCATATAACTTAAGTCAATATTTACCAGTTTAATTACTACTTAAAATGTTTCTCAGATAGTACAAGAAGTAATTTTACAGAGAGTAATACAAGTACCTATACACGTACGAGTTCAGTGAGAGAACCGTGAATTGTAGACACTTGGGAGACAAGGACCATACCTTAGATTTCTCTTCTGTCCTTCTCACTGGCCAGTATACATTTAGCTGATATGTTAATTTAGTACACATTTACCAAACAAAAACTTCCTCAGGCATTCTACTTTGGGATTTTTGTATAAAGCCAATATTGAAGAAGTCCTAGGCTTCTAAAATTTAATAAATAAAAAGTTCTTGCTATTATGAACCATAATTTAAAAAACTGGTGTTACATTAAGAATAGATGTGACTGTGCCATTATGTATAAAGCAGAATTCAAAACAGGGAATTAAGAATATAGTGAAAAATATGCGAGAGCTTAAAAACTGTTAGTTAAAAATGAGGAAAGTCTATTACTTTCTGTATGAATTATAGCTCTAAATACTTTAGTGGAAATACTGGGAAGCAGGTCAAAGTGATAAAGAAAAACAAAACTCTTCCAAGCACATAGACCATAATGTTAATAGGTTTTTAGAAAAACTGAATATTTTTATTCATTGACCTCCTTTGATCAACTGGAATCTTTACCATTCATACACTCTGAATTAACTAAACTACAAGTTACTCACAGTTTTGTTAAAATGCAAGCAAAAACTTTGTGATTTTTTTGAGTCTGAACAACTCAAACTAAAAGACCCCATTCTAGATTTATACATTTGATTTTCTTACAAAAATAACTTCGGTTATTGTGCCAATATTTATCCGAGAAAGGCAGCCTCTGACAGTAAACTAATAACTGGAAAAACCAGAGTATCACTATGAGCTACTGTAAAACAAGTCTAAAATTATTTTTCCTGTTTGAATAGTGAATAGATTTTACAGGAGTGAAAACCATACCTATGGGGGAAAAAAAAATCAATGTAAAAAATGACTCAGATCAAATAGAAAACCCAGAAGACAAATACGTAAATATTAGAAAGATCCCCCTCCCCGCAAAAAAAAAAAAAAAAAAAATCGACCATCACGTGGAAAAATATTTTAAAAGTGGTTTCAGAAAATAAAGGAACATATATCTTTAAAATACTTAAAGCAACTCTAAATACTCAATATAATTAGGATACTCTACAATGCCTATTTAATTGCGGTAAATATTTTTCCCTCAATTTTTTCTGGATGATATAGCAGTCTTTAGGGAATTTGTGCTTACTGTTGCCAAACCAAACCAAAACAAACAAACAAAAAACCCAAATAAGAAAACCAAAAACTCAAGTTGTGAAATATTAAAAGCATTTCTTCAACTTTTAAAAGATGGAGAATCTCCTTACTGTATTATAATATGAAAACAGGGAGGGTATCTGTTCATTTTGCTATATCATGAGTATATATCTGTAATGAAATAGATGGTCTGAGATAGGATTTTTATGAGAACAGGTAACTGAACCACACCAGCCACAAAAAAGTGGAAAAAAACCAAAAAACCAAAATACAACCAAAGAAACAAACAAAAAAAAACCCTACTCTTTTCAGCATAAAGAGGATAGCAGAACAGATGCATTGTAGAGCCAAACCCAAAACATCACTTCTAGGGGTCAGCAAGCGAGGCCCACAAACTGTATTTGGTCTGTGGAATATTTTTGTATGGCCCTGAGCTAAGAATGGTTTTCTATTTTTTTAAAAGATTTGTTCAAAACAACAAAGAAGATGTAATAGAGAACCATATAGTCTACAAAGCCTAAGACATTTATGATCTGGATCTTTACATAAAGGTTTGCAGACCCTTCATTTATAGCAATGTTGTGCAGAGTTTGGGCAGTGCAATTATTTTCACCACGAAGTTCATTTATTTTCACCACGAATGTAGTTAACATTCTTAAAAATGTATCTTCTGATGCTATTTTTCAGATTTTTCTCCTTCATCTTCAACATCATCAAAGTTCATCCTGTGTTAGTAGCACAGAAGTGATTGAAAGAGAAAAGCATGAGTTTAGATTGTTTAAAACAAGGTAAAATATAAACTAATCAACATTTTACCTTTTAAAAAATACTCAGCGTTCTTAGATGTTCTTAGTTAATGGCTCACCACATGAAACAATTTGCCTCACTGTAACAGTGGAAGAGAATTTGCTATAATATTCTGGCTTATGATTAATGTTTTTTCTTTTGAATACTTAATGAAATAAAAATCAAATTTTAAAATAACCTGAAAAACACAAGAAACACATGTTTGTTCGTAACTATCTCTTCTCTATCCTTTAGATTTGGATAAAATATTCAGGAATTAGGCTGTAAAGCTCTCTTTAATGGAGTCTGCAGTTCCAAACTGGACTACAGTAGAGCCTGGATTCTAATGTGGTTCTATTAATTCAGACTTCTCCAGCTCTCTCAGAGGCTGTGCTGTTTTCTTGCCTTACCAGGAAAGAATCTAAGATATTTCATATGTGATTGTATTAAATTCCATTCAAAAATGTTGTACTCCAACATTCATGTACTCTTTGGTCTATTTCTAAGTATGTCCTACAATGACACAATTTAAAAGAGGAAAAAATGAATTGATTTCTGAAGAATAATAAGAGGTATTACTGCTTACTAGATTTAAATATTCAAAGAGAGATCAAGATGATTATGGGGTTAAGATACATTCTAAGTATGCTAAGAATGAAAGAAAACTTGATATCCAAAATGTACTGAAGTTTTGATATATTTACTTGTAGTAACTCAATATACTCTTTATAATGAAGCAAAATTTAAATTGTTAATGGTCACAAATCACTAAATAATAGCTTCATTATACATTTCACACATCATAAAATCTCCTAATTAAAGGAGTTCAGTGATTTTGGTATATATAAGTTGTATGGCCATCATCAAAATCTAATATTAGAACATTTTTCAAAACTCCCTCTTATCCATTAGCAGTCACTCTATTTATGCTCTTTTAGTCCCACCCCAGGCACCCACTTTAATTTACTTTCTGTCTCTATGGATTAATCTATTCCTAAACATTTCACACAAATGGACTCATATGGTAAGTGGCCTTTTGTATCTGGTTTCATTCACTAAGCATACATTTTCAAGGCTCACTGTGTTGTAGCATGGATCAGTACTTCATTCCTTTTTAGGGCTGAAAAATATTCCATTATATAGCTATATCACATTTTGTTTATTCAGTAGTTGGAGGACACTTGGTTTTGATTCTTTGCTGTTACGATGCTATGAACATTTATTTGTAAGTTTTTGTAGGGAACTTAGTTAATTTTTGTTAAATGGTTTTGTACAAATTTCTAATTTCAGTGTCTAGAGGTTGTATTTTGATTATATTTCCCAAAATAGAAAATGCTCTATTTTTTGAATTTTTATTTTACATGTAATGCATATTAAGAATACATTTTGATAATTTCTGTCAAAGTCAGTTCTTGGCTTAGTTCTCACCTTATTTCTCTTTCCTTGACTTTGGAGAATTTCCAATTTTCTATAAATTGAGGCAGCAATTGTTTTTGCATCTCTGGTATTTATTTGCTCTTCCCAAATATTTCTCTAAAATTAAAAACACTCTTGTTATCTCCTATTTATTTGATCAAAATATGATATTGTTATCTAGGAAACTTGGTTAAATTTGCTTTAAAGTTCTTTTGTTCCAAAACTTTTAAGTGTTTGAAATTCAAATTTCTTCAGGGAAATAATGCTGCAAAAGCACAGTTAACCAATACCTGAAATAAATACTAACAATAGTCTTAATGGGAATATAAATAATTTCTGGGAAAAATGCATCACTGACTTCAAAAGCTTCAAACACATCTGAATGACAAAAGAAAAGATTTCTCCAGAGGTCTGAAATCACTCCAATCTTATACAATCATTAGTTCCGACAGTCTTGCCCAACTATAATAATGCAAAGCAATATATATCTCCCAGTTTTCATCCACCCACAGCAGGAAGGTGGCTGATAAGTAGGGTAGGAGCAGGTCAATGTATCCTTGCCTGCTCACCTTAGATCTGCAGCCACTGGTTCCTTATTCCTGGCAGAAAACCCAAGCCCAAGTTGTGTGCTATTATTTTATTTTTGTGTATAATAGCCCATTTGATTTGTACTTTTCGTGCCATTCATTATTCTGCTTTGTTCTTTCTGGTCTGGCCTGGACTTCTGGATCACCTGGTTTTCAGTTTGGTCAGGGACCTGTGGGCTCCAACTTTGTCCTGTGAACTCTTCTGAACACAAATATCATTTTTTTAAACAGCTCCATGTGAGCAATGTGATTGCTCATTATACTGATACTTCTTGAATAAGACCCCAATTTATGTCAACAACTTCTGTTATTTTGAGAACCTGAAAATGGAGTCACATTGGCTCTGAACTCACGATCTCCTGCCTCAGCTGAGATTACAGAAATGTGCCACCATGTCTGGTAAACTAGAGGTATCAGTATCAAAGGGAATAAAGGTTCAGGCACTTTACTTACACTCTGCTGTTTGGCTCAGGCTGTTCTTAAGACAGAGACAGCTTCTTGACAAATCAAAAACCTTCACTAAGAAACATAGATCTGTGACAGTTGTAGATTTCTGAAATTTGTTACCTAATTTCATTAGTTATTCCAAAATGTATTAGAGGTATCAATAAATAGTATCAGATCTTAACCTGATATTTTCCCCCCAAAAGTATAAAAACACTCAAAATTATCTAGTTTGAATGTTTTATCATAAAGCAAGTACATGGCAAATATCTGATTAGCTTATCATAGGTTCCCCCCACCCCCAAAGAAAGTAAGTTCATTGCTTTGAAACTTATTCATAGCATAAAGCATTTTAAACAGAAACATTGAAGTAAATACTCTAGGTAGCAATCTGCATTACAGGGTATTCTTAGTGACCTCAATAGCCATAATAAAGTTTTAAGACCTTGTTGTTCTTACTATTTTTGTTCAACTTGCCATGTCATCAAGATTGGATCAACACTTGTGTCAGCAATTGCAGTCCAGGCAAATATCGCCCATTTAAAGACCATTCAAGGGTGCCTTCCTTCTGTATTTTGGTTTTACTGATCATCAGTATCATTTGTTCAACTCTTTTATGATTCATGGCAGTTCTTTAGCTTTTACCTATTATTATCATCTTTCAAGTATACTTTTGGATAGAAAATGACTTTGCTTTTTTGGCAGCTCTCTAAGTGATACTGAAAGGTATGTTATTTTCTTAACTCTTTAGCATCTGAATAGAAGAAAGTACATTTTATCTTTACCACACTGTGGACTCTCCTCAGTTCTTTTAATTTTTCTCTTAAAAAAATCACACTTGGTGGTTCTTATGTATTTCTCATTCTTTACTCACTTATATTTATTCATTTACTGTGGTGGTAGGGCCAGTCATAGGCTAGGCAAGTGTTGTATTACTGGACTAAGTCCCCAGGCCCTTCATTTACTTTCTTACAACTAATTTAGTATAAGAAATTTAGTCTTCAATTTCAGACACTCTTCAATGTCTGAAAAAGTATCAAAATTCTTGTTGAAATGATGCCACAGTTCTGTCAAATATATCTTATTTTTTTATTAGTGAAGACAGTAAAGGTCTTGAGTAATTTCAGTTACCAATTATACTGGCTGAAAGACATAGCTCAAATACAGGTTGTCATTTGCATTTTGTTCTACTCATTAATATAACTTTGATTTTTACTGGAAAAAAAAAAAGCACCTTGTCAGCAGTGCCCAAAAGTATTGCTGAACCTTAAACCTCTAATATTCTTCAATATAAGTGCTCAGTTACTATATTTCAAAATCCTTATAAATTTCTCTTCATTGTTTTTCTCTTCATGGAAAGAATTAATTTAAAAAAAGTAATACATATTCACACTGAAAATAAATCTCCAAGCTTGGCCTGCTAAAGAAAGAAAGAAGGAGAAAGCCTGCACATACCTTTGTTCCGTCATACTGATAAAATTTAACAGTTGGATAGGCTCTGATGCCAGCTTCCTGGCATATTTGGGCATAAGCCTGACAGTCTACTTTCCCAGCTTTCACTTTTCCTTTAATCATCTGAAAAAAGAAAAATATGTTTTGCCATTTTCCCTTTGGCATAAATTATTCTGGCAACTGCAAAGCAATATGATATAAAATACTTCAAATATATATACATATATGTATATATGTATGTATGTGTGTGTGTGTATATATATTTATATTTAAGGAACTGTTATTTTATTTATTTTTTTCATTTTTCTTTTATTATTCATATGTGCATAAAGGATTGGTTCATTTCTCCCCCCTGCCCCCACCCCCTCCCTTACCACCCACTCCGCCCCCTCCCTCTCCCCCCCTTCAATACCCAGCAGAAACTATTTTGCCCTTATTTCTAATTTTGTTGTAGAGAGAGTATAAGCAATAATAGGAAGGAACAAGGGTTTTTGCTGGTTGAGATAAGGATAGCTATACAGGGCATTGACTCACATTGATTTCCTGTGTGTGGGTGTTACCTTCTAGGTTAATTCTTTTTGATCTGACCTTTTCTCTAGTACCTGTTCCCCTTTTCCTATTGGCCTCAGTTGCTTTAAGGTATCTGCTTTAGTTTCTCTGCGTTAAGGGCAACAAATGCTAGCTAGTTTTTTAGGTGTCTTACCTATCCTCACCCTCCCTTGTGTGCTCTCAGCTTTTATCATGTGCTCATAGTCTAATCCCCTTGTTGTGTTTGCCCTTGATCTAATGTCCACATATGAGGGAGAACATACGATTTTTGGTTTTTTGAGCCAGGCTAACCTCACTCAGAATGATGTTCTCCAATTCCATCCATTTACCAGCGAATGATAACATTTCGTTCTTCTTCATGGCTGCATAAAATTCCATTGTGTATAGATACCACATTTTCTTAATCCATTCGTCAGTGCTGGGGCATCTTGGCTGTTTCCATAACTTGGCTATTGTGAATAGTGCCGCAATAAACATGGATGTGCAGGTGCCTCTGGAGTAACAGTCTTTTGGGTATATCCCCAAGAGTGGTATTGCTGGATCAAATGGTAGATCGATGTCCAGCTTTTTAAGTAGCCTCCAAATTTTTTTCCAGAGTGGTTGTACTAGTCTACATCCCTACCAACAGTGTAAGAGGGTTCCTTTTTCCCCACATCCTCGCCAACACCTGTTGTTGGTGGTGTTGCTGATGATGGCTATTCTAACAGGGGTGAGGTGGAATCTTAGCCTGGTTTTAATTTGCATTTCCTTTATTGCTAGAGATGGTGAGCATTTTTTCATGTGTTTTCTGGCCATTTGAATTTCTTCTTTTGAGAAAGTTCTGTTTAGTTCACGTGCCCATTTCTTTATTGGTTCATTAGTTTTGGGAGAATTTAGTTTTTTTAAGTTCCCTGTATATTCTGGTTATCAGTCCTTTGTCTGATGTATAGTTGGCAAATATTTTCTCCCACTCTGTGGGTGTTCTCTTCAGTTTAGAGACCATTTCTTTTGATGAACAGAAGCTTTTTAGTTTTATGAGGTCCCATTTATCTATGCTATCTCTTAGTTGCTGTGCTGCTGGGGTTTCATTGAGAAAGTTCTTACCTATACCTACTAACTCCAGAGTATTTCCTACTCTTTCTTGTATCAACTTAAGAGTTTGGGGTCTGATATTAAGATCCTTGATCCATTTTGAGTTAATCTTGGTATAGGGTGATATACATGGATCTAGTGTCAGTTTTTTGCAGACTGCTAACCAGTTTTCCCAGCAGTTTTTGTTGAAGAGGCTGCTATTTCTCCATCGTCTATTTTTAGCTCCTTTGTCAAAGATAAGTTGCTTATAGTTGTGTGGCTTCATATCTGGATCCTCTATTCTGTTCCACTGGTCTTCATGTCTGTTTTTGTGCCAGTACCATGCTGTTTTTATTGTTATTGCTTTGTAATATAGTTTGAAGTCAGGTATTGTGATACCTCCTGCATTAGGAACTGTTATTTTAAAAACATAGCTCTAATCCTTCCCATTCAAGCAAGATTGTTTCCAGATTTTTCCTGGCCCTTTAATAAAGTTTCCTACTAGCTCCTCTCCAGCTGCAAATACATTCTCCTTTTCCTTATCAAGAACACTCTGACTTTAACCTTAAGCCAACTTACCTTCTCTTACCTGCCCCCAACTTCATCATCTCACAAACATCTGTTTCTGTCTTAATCCTTTTTCCTTTGTCTAGGTCTCATGTGTTGAGGTAGCATTTTTTGGTGCATGGCTGACTACTCCATCTATATCCTCTAGACCCTCCCTGTCAGATCCCTTATGTTTTTCAGTATATATACGTAAGATCATAGAAGAACTCCTTCCTGAATTGCAGTGATTCCCCTAGCATGCGTGCATATTGGTTGCTCTCATTTTTTTCTAAACCACAGTCTACTCTTTTGCCACTTCTCATCGTCTATCTATGTGGCATTTTTGTCTGGCTTCTGTTCTCACTGCTCCCTCCAATGAAACTTCTAAGATTATGGGTGACTGCTACTTGACTAAACTGAATGGCATGTTTTGGTCTTCTTAGTAACACTTTCTCATCGTTTGTCACTATTCCTCACTGTTTTCCTTTTTCCAGTATGGGGACCTCCTTCTTTACCCTCAAGTTATAATATCCAATCAAATTCCCATCTTTGGCTAACAATCTTTTCACTGTGAACAGTCTCTCAGGAAAATTTTACATACTACCCAATTTCTCCTCTTGATTTCATAGTCAACCATGTATTGGCCAGCTTTACATAAATGTCTCGAGCACCTCAAACATGACATGTCTAAAATTAATCCTTTTCTCTTAATCCACTCTTCTTCCTACTATTCATTCAGTTCAAGGCAGGAAGTAGGATTTTCCTAGCTCCTTTCTTCAACACAACCTTAAATCCTGTTTGTTCTTATCTCTCTCTTGTATTTATCCCCTTATTTCTATCAGCACCATCCTAATCCCAGTTTAAGTTATCTTCTCTAACTTCAGGACAATTTAAATAATTTCTGCTGAGATTATTTAATAATCTTTGATCCCCACAGCTACTAGGGTACACAAGTAGACTGACTTATTTACAACAGGGCACCAGCAAAGACTCAAGAATTAGCATGTATGTAGACAGACAGACAGTCACACAATCACTCACTCTGAAGGTCAGGGAAATTTAGAAATGAGATTTAAAGAAGTTTCTATGTCATTTACAAAATGTTTACTTATATTTTTAATTATTTATGAGAGGACCCTGTATTTCTTTTGGTGCTCTAAATATTTTTCTCTGTTCTTACTGGTCCTTGGTCAGACTATTACTATGATCTTTCTAAAAATGCAAATGGAGTGCTCCCATACATACTCTATAGTTCTTCTCAACACCTATAGAGAATATGTTCTGAATAGTAATAATCATAAGATAGTGTGCACTATGGCAGATTGGGAAAAGGACTAAACGTCCTTCTCCTTGCTGCTTTTCTGCATTTCAATTTTTGCTACTTCCCTTTCATATTTACACTCTGGAAATACTGGACTAACAGTGGAGATCCCTGAATGTTCAGTTCTTTGTGCAGATAGCTCTCTAGCCAACACTTTTAGTTGTCAAACTCCTAGCCACAATGTAATTTTGGTCTCAGTGCTAACTTTTTTGTGGAACCTTTTGTTTCCTCCTAGTATGACTCTTCCATTCATCAGCTCATGTTCTGATTTCATTCTAATTTCATTAGAGCAATTATACTGTTGTATCATGTATAACTTATTTTCAATTTACTCCATGTCTTAGGACATGGAATTATTGTCTTATCATCTTTGTAACCCCCATATTAGTATAATGCCTTTTGCTTGGGATTTGCTGAATGAATGATTCACTTCATGTTAATAATTTTCTGCTATATTCAAGACACAGTTTTCCATACATCATGGATGAGGGAGTAAAATATTTTGCTAGAATTATTTGATAAAAAGGAAGCATAAGGAAAGATTAAGTAGAAAGAATTAACAACCTTTTATTTGAAAGACCAGTCAATAACTAAAATAATCTTTTATAGCTTAGAATAGTTTTTTTTTTAAAAAAAATCTTTTTGCTGAAAACTACTCCTCTGACTTGGGATGCACATGGTGGAACAAGTGCTGAATTTCTCATTCTAATGGGTATTGTTTACCTATGACAAGAGTCCCTGAGCTATATAGGCAAGGAAGCTATCAATCTGGATTAGGCAATCAAGAGGACTGTAGGACTGAAAGAAACACCAAAAACTCAGACTGCATTGAGTAGATGTGCTTAGTTGAATTTTATAAGCATTTGCTGAGTTAGGATCTAGGGAAAGAAAGATAAGACATGGACCTTTATGTGCCCCTCATGAACCTCAGTCTTATGGAAGACACACATATGTATTATACAGAATATCATATGGACAGTAATTAAATAAGGGCACAGGACAGAGAACCAGTGGTACTGGAGCTGTTTTTGTATTTTTTTAGGATAAGGGGAAAAAACAATCCAGATGACCAAAGAGACATTTTAGAGAGGGAGTAGCACGTACATAAGGATATATGTTCAGAGAACCTGGAGTATTTTGTTGTGCCTACAGTGTAAGGAGGGACAGAGATAAAACTGAAGAGGCAGGAAGAGTCAGAATAGACTCCTGAAGTCAATAGATGTATATCAACAAATCTGATTAATAAGCTGGAGAAGGCAGTATTTTAGAAAGATCACCAGGACAACATTGAAGAAGGAAGACTGGAAGTTTGACAAGTCTAGCTGAGAGATGATGAAGGCTTGAACAAAGAGCAGTGGATAAGTAGATGACAGACATTTAGCAGACAGAACTAATAGAATCTAGCGGTTGGCTGGAGGGTAGCAGAGTATTGATGGTGGGCAAAGGAAATGTAAGACAAGAGGAAGAAGAAATGTTTCTGACTTTCCTGGCTAGGAAGATGGTGAGGTTTATCAGTCAAGATAGAGAAGACATTAGCTAAAAACTTTAATTAAAAAAGAAGAAATCTACTGCAAAGATTAGTTATAGAAACAGACTATAATTTATTTTTAAATTCTGAGGAAACTTTCAATAACTAAATTAAGAATTACTGTTATAATATTTTACCAATTATTAAAACATATTTAAGTAGACAGACTTACCCTAGCCAAGAGTTCAAACTCTGGAGCAAAATTTTGGCAAGGTCCACACCAAGGAGCATAGAAATCAACCACCCAATGATTTTTCCCTCGTAAAACTTTTTCATTGAAAGTCTGAGGTGTTAAATCTATGGACACTTGAGGCAAAAATCTGTGGCAAGGAACCAAAATCTTTTTTCATTATATAAATCCAAGGCAAACAGTCTAAGATACAATAATGTAATACTTTCTAAGTTAAAAGTGATTCCAAAGAATACCAATGTAATAAAGTTCAGTTCTATCTTACAGTCCTTCACTAAGTAATATAAAATGCTAGAACCTTAACTCACAGAATATTTAACTATAGACAAAAAGAAGGTAAATAGCTTTGAATCTATTGTATAAAATGATATGCATTTTACTCACCCTAGACCCCAGATTCTTAGGGAGTAAGCATCCCTATTCCAACCATTGTAACTACTGAAAGAAAAAAAGAAAAAAAAATATGTAAGTTGTAAATAACAGCAATTTAAAAATATAGTTGACTGACTTCCTCTGGCATTTCTCCTCTCAGTCTGGTTTCATGGCTTCTATAGGTTTTGTATCCTCCTCCTCACCCCATCCCCCAAGCCCCAGGGAATGCTGGGGATTTAACCCAGGACTTCATGCATGCTAAGCAAATATTGTATCACTGAGCTATATCCCCAGTCCTAGTCTTGATATCTTTTTGCTCCAGATAATCCAGAATATCTAGCTGCCTTTTGGACATCTCCTCAAAATGTTCAAGACTTTAGTTTCTGAACCTTTATTCAAGTTATTACTATTAAATTTCCATCCATTTTTAGAGATCCATGTCAAAAGCTACCACAAAAATGCACTTTACATGATTTCCCCACAGTGTGATCCCTTCTTCTTTTAGACTCCACAACTCACTTTTACTTCTTTAATAACATTCATCATATTCTACCTAAACACTACCTAATTCTGTGTGGTGCGGATACAGTGTGGACACTAGAATAGTCCTGGGTTGAAACTCCAGATTCAAACCTTAGTAGGTGTGTGACTTGGGAAAGTTTCCTAAATGCTTAGAATTATTTCCTTCCCTGAAATAGTAGGAGGGGTAAATAATTCATTCCCCACACAATAAATGTGAAGACTAGTGGAAATAATGTGAGACTGAATCTAGCACAGTACCTGAAATCAAATAATGATGTAGTAAATGTTAGCTCTTCCTCACCTTATCTTCTTGAGACTATTTAACTTCATGACAACTTTACCATTGAATTTTCTCTTTACCTTCTGAAGTGCTCATGAACATGGTGGCCCTCCCAATAAATACTTGTTGGATTAACTTAAATTTTAACTATAATTAGATGATTATAATAAATGACTTCAAATTTGAGAGAATACTTACTGATACTGATAAGCTTTATTTGACTTTTGGGGGAAAAATCTTATCTCAGGGTATCTTTGAACATTTTCTTGGGTACAAAAAGACTGATACTGTTGGCAGTCCACACTACCCACATTGATCAGTCCAGTTAATGT